GACCAAGTTGAGTAGAAGTGACACAGTTGAAAATGATTCTAATTTCCTCCTACCGAAATCGTTTTTTTTTAAATTATTAATACATAATTTTTCTGGTCCATTATCTGGTGATTTACAAAAAATTGGCATTTAATCTGTAAATTTCGTTCTATGACGATGTTTCACACATAAACGCGACACACACGGTGAGCGAGGGAAAACAAAGGAGAAAGGGACAGAGAGACTAGAGGAAAAGTTTAAGGAGTTAGTTTAGTAGTGAACTAACGATCGTTATCTAATTTTAGCGACATTAGCTTATCTGATAAGCGCGGAGGGAGTGATTGGCGAAGGAAAAGGGTCGAATGTCGTCGCGTGTGGGTCCTTGGATCGATTAGGGGGACAATCTGTAGGTGTAATAGTTACGTATTGTTAACCGAAGCACCTGAGTCACACACGTGTTGCAGAGCTGACAAAATAAAGTAACAACGTCCCTTGCCACTTGTGTGATTTGCCACAGAGAAAAAGGGGAAAGGAATCAAAGGACAGAGATATGAAACCAGGAATCGAGTAAGAAAGAAGTACATGATCGACAGGGTGGCTGGGTTAATGTTAGGGGAGCGGAACATAGAAGATCAGAGTGTGCGTGTGTGCATGAATATATTTTCATCGAGGTAAAGGGGGGGGAAAAAACTGCGAAAACTCCAAATTTTGCAGTTGATTGCATTTTCTTTTTTTAAAGAATCTGTCGGGAGTAGAACGAGAAAAGGGAGATGAGAGAAAAAGGGTTAAATCGCGACGTAAAAGTGCGAGAGGAAGGAAGATGTGAATTTTGGGAGGGCAGTTACTTCAATTGATGAATCGGTGATTTCTGCTTTTATTTCTCATACGATTCAACACCCTTTTACAATGTACAACCTTCACTTCTACCCGCTCCCCTCACTCCCAATAAAAAAAAACGACACATAAAAAGTACAGTACTACTACTATTGCTACTGTACTATTACTATTACTACTACTACTACTACTACTACTACTACTACTGCTACTACTACTATACTGTAACTACTACTATTATTAATTATGATTATTATTAATTAATTATTATTAATTATTGTCATTATTATTACTACTATTATTATTATTATTCATCAAATACACACATACACATATATATATAAATATATATATTAATATACTTAACGGTGTTTCTAGTGGATTAATTGATACTTAAGATATATTAATAATATTAATATAACGATTATAATGATGATGATGATGACGACGACGACGACGATGATGATGATGATATATATATATATACACAAACGATATGATGATGAGATGATAAATTGATATGCTGATAATTATTATGATTATATAATGATTAATATAGAAAAAAAGAGTGGATCATTATTCATAAAGTACATAACTGGTATAGATTATGAGGATGATTAAATAGAAAATGATATTGATGAAAAAAAATACAAACGAATCTTGTCAATCGAAAATCCATACAAATCTCTTTCCTTTCGTTTTAACTATTAATTTACGCAATTAAGTAGTATTATATATTTTATTTCTATCCAACTGGTTGAGAGACTTAAAACACTGCACAAGTAGTTTATAAACGTTCGTTACCATTTCAATTATTCTTTATCCCCACTTCAGATTCATTGCGGGATAATTGCGCAAGAGGAATGTACGCAACATTAACGAGTGTTCCTTTTCGACTTTTTCTTTTTTCTCTCCTTTTTTTTGTTTTCTTTTTGCAAAAAAGAGAAAGCACGTTGCGAAAATATATATCTCGTGCTGCATGGGTGGGAGTGTGCGAATGGAAAAGCGAGCATGCGAGTGCGCGTAGAAGAGAGGAGAGGTTCCCTTTTTTCGCCTAATTGTTTCGGGGGTAGCCAACCCCTTTGCTGTCCGTGTTCGCTCAAACAACCACTTTTACTGGTCGATAAAAACCACGGACTTGACAGTAGCTCCTTCTACTTTCTTTTTGTCGCTTCTGTTTTGCAATTAGCGTTTAGAGAAGATAAAAAATCGCGCGTCGAGTATTTCCGTTCTCGAGATTGTGTTTCGTTCGTGTGCGAGAAAAGAAAAAAAAAAAACAAAGAAATTTCAGTTGCTGCTTCCTCTTCGGTTTTTCCTCTTCGATTTTCATTGAGAAACCAATACTTTTTACCCCGCGGATATAAATGGTTTTTTATTGGTACAGGATGGAATTACAGAGGTGGTCCACTGTTTCGAAGAGTTACTCTTTTCTTCTTTTTTTTTTTGCTCCTTCTTTCTTTTATTTTATTTTATTTTTTTTTCACGCCGTTGACGTCGTTGAGGGAAACGATCGAGACCAAGCGTCTCTCATTGGTGCAGTGTTTTATGCGCGTCCCAACGTGTCCGCCACACCGCCTCGAAACTGAGCCGGAAAACGTATTCACCGGGTTAAATATATACAGGTGTAATTTCGCATTCTGTTGGAAATTTCACGAAATCGGAATATTCGAGGAAAGATATCCCGACTCAGGTTCGAGGTGACTTGGTGTTCCTCGGTCCTCAAGGGGCCACGAATTTTTCCCGTTCAATTTAATTATTGAAAAATCAATTACGAATCGTTTAAAAAAATTCTTTAATAATCTTTCGTTTGAAAATTAAACAACCCGCGCCCCTTCGGTACGCTCACTCTAAAAGTAGTATCTATAATAGATCTTATATTGCTTAAGTTAAAGAAAAGTACCGACTAGTTTTTACCACTGCGACGTGTGAGAATATTAAAAGTTTCCGTTCGAAGTCTTCGCGTAACTACCTGCTTCTTCGTTCTCGACTCGTTTATTCACGCCTGGCGGGAAACGCGGCGTGCACGGGGCGGCCCGCACCACCTAATTTTCCTCCTTTATTTCCCGCAGACACCACTCCGATCCCAAAGTTCAAAAACACCGAAACTGGAAGCCCGACCTTCATCCCGAACGGAGACGCAGCCCCAGGTCCCCAACGATTCTCCTTGACTCAGCATACGAATTATCATCCCTATAGGCGCTAAGAAATACCGAATAGACGCACAGATCAAGGTTTCTAGGTCCCTTAACAAAAATTTAAAAAAAAAGCAGACGTAGAAGAATAGAGAGAGAGAGAGAGAGAAGAGAGAGGTTGGCGGCGCTGTGATGGAGGAATTAAAAAAAATAACAGATGGTATACAAGAGGTGAAATAGAAAAAAAGAAAAGAAAGAGCAGCGATAGAGATTTTGACTATACAGTCGAATCGATATTTCTGAAAGTGTGTTGGCCATCCAATCCTCTTTACTTCCTTACGCATACGAATTTTCACCCAGTCCAGTTTTGATATATTATTAAGGGAAAAATTGATTTTATATAGTGGTCACTTTTTATAGTGGTCGTTCCCCAGGAGGACGACGATGCCTCGTGAGAATAGCCCGTAAGACGATTTATCGATTAAGGATTTTGTATTTAAGTTACGTGCAAGTGACGGTGTGTAAAAGCATGCGTCCTTTTAAAAATTAAGATTACTTAAGGTCTTTTACTGTGTTTAGACTTGTCGTTAAGATATATACATATGCGAAATTTTACCCACGGGACCATTTTTAACGTCTAAGATATTATTCTTTCTTGCTGCTTTTTTTTCATCATTTTTTTTTTTTTGTTTTTTTAATTTATACGCGTAGGATCTGACGGAAGAACGGAAAACTGACGGGGGTGTCTATAGTCTGTGTTAGATTTATTTAAGAAGAAGCAATCTGAGAGCTGTGTAAAATTTCAATGGAAATTTCGAATAGGTTTGTTCGAAGAGGAAGAGAAAAGAAAAATACTCGTAACATATTTCAGGATCTGAAAGTAGCGATAATTCAATTTCCCGTGTGGCAAGTACAAAATCGGATTAAATTCCATTAAACTGCGTTCGAGAACGGGGTGATATATATACACACACGCACGCGTTCGTGCGCGCGACCGCGACAGCTTCTCAAATCAAACTCGATCGACGGGGAAAACTTCCTTTATCAGTCTCGAAACTTGCCACGACACTCGGTCGATATACATAGTACTAAGTACTTTTATACATTAGTATAAGGCCGTGATAGAGAGAGAGAGAGAGAGAGAGAGAGAGAGAGAGAGAGAGAGAGAGAGAGAGAGAGAGAGGAAGAAAAGAAAGAAATTTGTACTTGAGAAAAAAAAATTGTACTTGAGAGAGCGAGAGAGGAGAGTGAAAGAAGAGCACAGTTTAACTAATTTTTAAGTCGATAAGGAAAGTATATAACGATTAAGGATGATTTAAGGACGTAATATAAGCTTTTCCTACTTGCACGTTACGAGACGATTTTTGATACGATTTATTTCTTTGTTGCACGATCCGTTCGTTTCTCCACGATACTTTTTTTCTCTTCTACTACTATACAATAGCCTTAGATTCTGCTAATATCGACGATATATTAATACATCAATTTTTTTACAAAATATCTTACTTCTATAAAATGTATGTAGAAAATTTCCAACGACGAATCATGGCGCTCCCGTTTACCGCTTCATTGGTAAACCGGCCGCGTTTCGTTTATACTTTTAAGGTCCATTCACGCGATCGAATCCAATTAACCCGACGTTTCAGCTGGTGTGGATTCGTTCAATTAACGTGTCGCGCCTCTCTTCTTTAATCCGCAATTTCGTTTCGTGTCCCGTTGACCTAAAATTTCTCTCCTTCATCGCAGCGTGGCCTTTTACAATCTTCTACTGTGCCGCTCTATATGGATCTCCATTCACGCGATAATCGAAGAGGTACCCAAAAGAAAAAATAGTAAAATTTCCAAAAAGAAATCACTCCGCTTCTATTTTCCATAGAAGTAAATGATATTTCAACTTCTTCGACAATCGTCACGTAACATTACCGACAATCTACCGAAACGATCGTTCCAACGCCTACTAACCGTCATTTCCTGTGAACCATACCTCTCCCAAATTGCGTCCTCGGGCCGCGTCCTGGCACACAGTACTACGTATCTTTTATACGCTTCTAACAGGCACCGAATACGGACCCTCCTCGAGACTAGAGAGCGTTCCTGCTGCTCCAGGAACCAACGACAGCTACAGTGGCGGTGGACCCCAAAGGGGTTACACAGGATCCTCGTCGAGCTCCAACAATTACCATCCCTATCGTCGCTAGAAATGGGATTGAGAACAGAAACGAATCGAGTCCTCGCCGTTCGAATCACGCGAGGTTTCGCTTCTTCCTTATTCTTCTTTAAATCATCGAGATCGGTTTTCACGCTACTTTGCGCGACACACACACACACACACACACACGACACGTGTGTATTCTCTGTTCTCTTGCGTAAATGCGTGTCAGTGTGTAGCAAACTGGAAGCTAGCAGAGACCAGAGAGAGGAGAGACGAAGATACGAGTCATTTTTCTACGTTTTTTTCCTACGGACACGTTCACCTTCTTGAATCTATCAACGATTCGAGGGTTAAAATACGGCGTGTGAGAGTGATGATCGTCTTGTATACGAGATATATTTTGTCGCGAATATATCGAAACGTGGAAGCTTTTTTTTTGTTTTGGTTTTTTTCTCATTTTCACTTTGAAATAACGGTCGATGTTGCCAAGAGGAAGGATTTTCTTTGAAGGAGGAAGAAGAAGAGGAGGTGTTTATCGGTGCATGGAAGAGAAAAACAAAGGCATCTCGAGGACCAATTTTTCTAGGTGACTGAGCGAACACGTCAACTTCATACGTCGTTGTGGAAACTAGAGTTTCCACCCTCTTTCATAATAAAGACGCCTAAAAGAATTGACAGGGATGACGATCACTTTCGAGACCAGGCTGTGTCCCCCGAATTTACAGTTCTCTTCTCGAAGGAAGGGAAGTCGGTCGCCTTTCGTTTCGCGAATGGAAGAGAGAAGGAGAATATTTCGACGGTGATATTTTTCAAATTTTTTAACAGGGCAAACACGTCGCCGTTGAATTCGTTCGTCCAAAAAACTGTGGAGCGTGTTTTGGTATTGTAAGCTTGTTAGATTTAAGACTTCCTGAAACGCAACCATCCGATTCAAGTCGTTCCTTCGACTTCAGCGACTGGAAGCGACAAGTACTTCACGAGTCTACCGATTCTTTCTCACCTTCTCTGTTTTTCATCTCCTCTCCACATTGCCAGCCCCCTTTTTTCTTTCACATTAAACGCGCAAGAAACGTAGCAACGTAATCAACAGAGGAAGAAGAAGAAGAAGAAGAAGAAGAAGAAGAAGAAGAAGAAGAAGAAGAAGAACATGTACTTCGATCGTTGATAATTTCATTGTTCCGTTTGCGCGTAATCATTCACGATGAGAATGTAGTAGTACCACAGGTTACGGGAAAAACGATGTGTATCGTGTAGTAGCTAGATCGATTTTTTGTTCTCTTCTCATTTGTTAATTTTAGTAGTTGCGATTTAAAAAAAACAAAACTCGTTTCAGAGTACGACAAGAAACCTAATCCTTTGTTTTTTTCAATTTCTGCCGTAGGAAGTTTATTTCCTAGACGTGCCGTTCATTTTTTCGACTGGATGACGCGAGGCTTGTGGACATGAGGTAAAAGAACCGGAAAATGCGCGTTTAGCCGCTTAACGGCCACCGCGATTAATTCAAAGGATCCCCCTTTTTTGTCTTATTTCGTATATTAATTTAGAAAAAAAAATAACCAAGCTGGTCCTTCGTCCTTATTTTCGGATCTTTTGTCTTTCT